GTGCCCAGGTGAGCGGGGCAGCGCCGCGCGCCCGCCTGGCCTCGCTGGGCACGTGCGCAGGGAGAGTCGGAGAAGGGGGGGGGCAGCCACTTGCCCAGTCCCCGCCCCTGCTGCCTCGGGATTGGCCGCCCTGTTGCCAAGCTTCGCAGCCCCTGCCCATTGGTCGCCCGTGCCGGGATGATGTCATCCCAGCCGCGGGAGCTCGGCGTGTAAACAACCTGGCCCCGCCCTCTTGCACGTGGCGTGCGCCGAGCAGCGGCCGCTTTCCCGTCCCTTTCTAGGGGCCCCCTTTGTGACATCATCCGGACGCTTCCCACGCCTGAGCCGTGCCCCGCCCCAGGGTCACTGCCCGGGGGAACTGCGGAACGACTGGCGGCGTGTGGCGCAGACACAGCATGGGGGGGGAGCAGTCGGGAAGTCGCAGGGGGCTGCAGGCAGGGCTTGCATAAGGAGGCCATGCAGCTGAGATTGGCAAGTGGGGTGGTCTCACCACCCCCACCGGTGTGCAGGAATGGAGGGGAGTTGTTGATGGGGGAATAATTACAATCACTGAAGGCAGGGCTGGCAGAAGGAGGCCATGCAGCTGAGATTGGCAAGTGGGGTGGTCTCACCACCCCCACCGGTGTGCAGGAATGGAGGGGAGTTGTTGATGGGGGAATAATTACAATCAAGAGGAAGAAATTAAGAAAGGGAAGAACTGCAATACCAGGAATAGCTATTAGAGTGGGGGATAATCTTGTCAGAAACCTGCTGCTCCGGACTAGTCCACAGAAAGCGTTAGAAAGTACAAAATACACATCTGCACTGATTCTGCATTAGGGATGTGAGCTAATCCCATAAGCTAATCAGATAGTTGACTAGCAATGTGACTAGTTGCTGCCCTATCCCTTGCTGCCTCTATAAGAGAGAGGCAGCATGGTGGGGGGGAGAGTAGGAGCCAGTGCTAGGGGAGCCAGCTTAAAAGCCGGTGGTTCCCCCCCCCCACGAAACAGCGTGCATAGGGACTGAAGCAGTCTCCACTTGTATGTTTCTAAAGCAGAATAGCAACAGAACCAGCACAAGAGCCCTAGGCCTGCACCCTGCTCCTTGCAGGGCTTCTGCTTTTGAACTGTAGCAAGATCAATTCATTAATCTAAATTTAACATCCCTATCCTGTGTGAACTCTCTGCTTGTTTATGCTCCTCACTAGCAGCCGAGATTCCATGGCCCCTAAAATTCCCTAAGACCCCACCCCCATCTCCCAATCCAAAATGTATATTGGTTAAAAAACTTCCCAGAGAGTAGTCATGAGTGGTTCACACAATCTGGAAGGACATAAGGAAAGGGGTCCTGCAGGTATCAGGTCTGGGGCTAGTCCTGTTCACTATCTTCCTACATGATGTGGATAACAGCATAGAGACAACACTTTACATGGTTGGCAGATAGTACCAAGTTGGAAGGATTGTCTTCATACCCCACATGATCATTTGAAATGGAATAATGGAATGTGGACGTCCATGAGCCCCGTGGGTCATGCTTAGCTGGGCTGTGAAAGGGTTTTATTGTCAGCATGCTTAGCTGCCACCCTCTTTCAGCATATACCATGCATATGCAATGTGAGCGAGGTGGTAGAGTTCTACTTTGGCTGCATCTAGACTGGCAAGTTTTTCCGCAAAAGCAGCTGCTTTTGTGGAAAAACTTGCCAGCTATCTACAGTGGCTGCTTGAATTTGCGCAAGAACACTGATGATCTAATGCAGTGGTCCCCAACCTTTCAAGGTTGTCGGGCGCCAGGGGGCGGGGCCGTTTGCGCCCCGGGGGCGGCCCCCCCCTAGCCGCATGCCCGGGGGCGGCCCCCCCCATAGCTGCAT